TGTTCAGAAATTGTTCCTCATTCTTAATATACTGCCAGCAGTGATTTAAGTACTTCAAAAAACAATGTAAAGGACATTAATTTTTATTGCTACTCTGAAAGATTTTCAGTTAAAGCATGAGTTCAGAATAATGGTCATATTGCTTTGCAGTCACAGGAAACCTGGGGAACTCTGTACCAGCATGTCGAAACAGTTGATACCCTCTGATGCATTCCCTGTTGATTTCTAGTGATGAAAAGGCTTCATTTGCTTCCTCTCATGCTTTTCTTGCTCTGCAGGATGAAGACTGTAATGTTCAAAATAGTCAACAGTCTGAAATTACCTTCGCAATTTAAAAACAATAATGTAGTGCCTCAAACTGTGATAAAGTAAGGATTGAGCTGCCCTTTTAGTTTTGTATATTATATTTCTATGGCTATATATGCATCTTCCGTACTATTGACACAAGGGATAAAATGAGCATTAAAAAGAGCTTCAGCATCAAAACTGGGCATAATGCAAAGCTGAATTCCATGTTATGCTAGCTCTCAAGAAAACTACTTGAACACAGAGACAGATCAGTGCATCCTGCCAACTGATTTACCTTGCTCCTGCCTCCCCATACGCTGAGACACATTTTCTTCTGGGCCAATTTTGAATGCAAGTGTGACACTTCTTTCAAGTACTATATTTATTGCAAGCTTCTGTTTATTCCTGGCATCCTTCCTTTGTGTTGAGTTCCTGTCATTGCCTGTCTCTGTGAACTTCAGTTGCCTCACTTCCTTGGTTGCTTTCACACTGTGTGATGTTGTTCTTGTGTCCTGTTCCCCTCTCCCCATCCCATTCCTCTTATGAAGTGTCAGAAGGACAGTTGGTAGTTGAGAACAAAAGATGACCTTCTGAGCCTTGTATATTGTGCAGAGAGTTATTTAAAGAGTGACAGGTGTTTAGTTTTTGTACCAATACCATTATTTTTCCTTTCCTTCCACTTTTATAGTGGCCTCTGGGCTTTCCCATCAAGTTGTAGGATTTCTTAGCCTTTGCAGAGTGTGTCATGTTTTGGACATGTATATTTGACTTGACCGTAGTAGATGAGTTTTAGAAAAGTCTTTGGAAAGCAACCATGTGATGCTTGTGTTAGCTCATCTTATCCTTCTTCATTTGGACATACCCTAGTGAAATGAATCTCTTAAAATTATGAATATCCAGGAAACAGATAATAAAGAAAACCTATGCCAATTGTAACCAATTTTTTTAATGTAGCAGAATGCCTCTTGACATTGTGTGAGAGCACAGGAGAAGTAATTTCCATGGGTAATTTCTTTTGCATTAGTTACCCTGAAGTGTCTGCATTCTTGCTAGAGCACCTGTAATGATATGGCTTGGGATTTGCATAAAAGTCTGTTGAATTTTACATGATCTTTGGTCATACCTGTGCAACAGGCTACATTAAAACACCTGGAGAAACATTAGGCTGCTGTGAGATTGGCTTATTCAGTATTTCAATTCAGGTTTATAAGAAAATGTGAGTATTGAGATTTTATCAGTATGACAAATTGAGATTTTATCAGTATGACAAATATATATAATATTAATAATAGAGTAATCATCTCTCGCTTATATTTCCAACAGATCATATGTGCATGATTGCAGAGCAGCAATTCCCATCTCAAACTCTGATTTTACTTGCTTTTGTGAACTGTATGTCAGGACAGTTCTTGCACAGTTATGTGCCTGCTATCAGTGAAACTTCAAGTTCTGCAGGGAGGCAGCTGTTTGGTTAGTACATAACTTCCAATGGAGATCTGTCCTAATGTAGATAAATATTAGATGATGGTAATTGGCAGGATTTTCTTTAGACATAGAGAGGTAAGCTCTTGACATGAGGTATAATGTATAATAATAATAAGGTAAAAATAATGATAATGTATAATAAGGACTTGAAGTCCTTATACATTTTTTTGCTTATAAAAATTATGATTGAGAAAAATGAGATTTTGAATAAACATCACAAATTTTTAAAAATATGCACAATATTACACTGTTGTAATTGCTGGTTAAAAGGCACATAGAGTAGTTTTATCTGTTAAAATAAGAATTATTCTGAGAAAGCATGGGAGCCACTCAAAATGTCTTACTATATGCTGTCAGTAACAGCATCTTGAAGAAACATTCAGACAAGGGGAAAATGGTAACATTTCACTCATATATTTACACAAGATTTTCGGAATTGTTCTTAAAACATGTTTGGAGAAAGGTGGAGTAGGGAGAACACATAGCAATTCATATGCTGCTTCAGATTTATTGAAGTAGTTGCAAGACAGACATTCAATGCTTCTTTTAAGCCTCTGGGAAAAACACCAATGAATAGTAACAGTATAAAAGAAAAATAAACATTGAGCAATATTTTTCCATTTCACAGAAAAAAGCTTATATACTTAACAAAATTACAGGACAGTTACCCTCTCATATATCCCAGTTGTGAATTTATGGATGGCTATGAATCTCATTTGAACTCCTTTTTTAGTGTCAGAATGACAAAAAAGGAAAAAAATATCATCCTAGGTCTTCACTACAACCTCTTATTATCTGCTCTCTACTCTCCTTTTACAAAAAGGAGATCTGTAAAAAGAGAGTAGAGTAGATAATAAGAGGTTCTAGTGAAGGTCTAGGATGAGATGTTTTATATACATACAATATCTTGAAGAAGGTTGTGTTTAAAAAAATGGGTTTTTTTTCCTCAGTTTTCTTATTTTCCATTACTCTCTCCTACTTTGTTTATCTTCTCATGTTCTTTCCAAAGGCCTTTCAAACCTACTTTTCCTCATCCTTCATTTGATTATACTTGCTTCACCTTTTGCTCTGGCTCTAACCTGGTTGTTCCCTTCCCATCTGATTCAGCTGATGCTAGGGATGATCGCACGTGCTGCTACCGCGTATGGAGAAAAAAAGTAAGCACTTCTTCAGGCAGCTACTACAGTTAAACTGAACCTCCTTTCATCTTCCTAAGTGTTAGTTTTGGTGGGAGTGTATGCCAACTGTTCCATTTTGGGGTCTTGGTAACACCTTTCAACACTGACCCATTTTGCTCCTTCTATGAATCTTCTAATGAGAGATGTCATGACATCAGCCTTCCAAGAAAAAAGCTGAGCTTGTTCCATCTTAAAAGAGCTACTGGAAAGTTTCTGTGCAAACTATCAAGGCCAGCATGCCATAGTCTCCTGATTAAATCTTTGTTGAGTATCTCAGAGCAAAGAAAATAGAGTGGTGTGTGGTAATCTGAATGGCTGTTTTACCCTTCTCTGAAGGTATCTGGAATCTTTTGGTTGAGAATAGGTGAAAAACATCCTGTGTTACTTTGTTATGACCAGATCAAAAAATGCAAAAAGCACATTTTCTTGGGGGCAGGAGGATTTGTGAGCACTGACCTATAAGTCTTTATTCAGTATTTGGTTTTTCACAGCTTTCCTCACTGCTGCTTGGGGCAGTCTGGTTCTTTCTAGTTGTAAACCCTCTCTTGTGTTGCTGTGGTCTTGTGAGGACTGCTGCAGCCATAACCATAAAAGATCTAGAGCACAGTGATACGAATTGATAGAATAAGAATTGGGGGTGCAGTCTGTGATCTGCCAGGGGAGTACCTGGGGTATCTTTGTGTGCCCTACACTGATTACCTAGAATGGGTGGGTTCAGATTCATTGTAAAGCACCTACTTTTAATGTGGTCTTCACTCTTCTGCGGTCAATAAGGCACATTTTCAAATCAAGATTCAAGAAAAACAGGGATTCAATCTATTTATTAGTCTGTCTGCTAATAGTCTGGAAAGAAAGTGTTCTATTTGTGAAAGAGATACAGTCATCAGGGTGTATTATGGAGTTTCATCCCTGTGTGTTTGGATGCATGACAATTTTCCGATGCGTGGATTCCTGCTCTTCACAGTACATTCTGGCTCATTAGTAACTAAGACAGAGATTAATGCTTTTTTGGAAGAAAAATATGTTCCTTAGAAGGATCTGAATTCTTCTCTTATGCATGTACAAAATAATTTTCAGTTAACTCAGTTGACAGCTTGGCACATCCAAGTGACCATGGTCCAGATTAATGATTGGTACTGATACTCTGCTTATGTACATCTTGATTTGTTTTACTGGAGTGCCATGTATTGCATAAACAGGGAGGCACCCATCTGTGTAAAATTATTAATTTAATTTGTGATGTGAGGTTAACACTATAAAGATTTGTCAGCAATTTTATTTTTCAGTGAGACATCAAAAATAATTGAAGCCATGTCCCTCTTAGCTATTCCAAAATCCTGGGTGTGGCCGGAGCTGTGCAAACACAGTGGGCTTCTGTTAATTTAATCCATCTGGATATACTGAAAATCACTAATCAGAATGCTTATTCTGTTGGTATAGTCTGTTTCCATTTGTTTTCTCTTCCAATATACCTGTTTTAGTCTAACTTCTGCATAAGAAGCTTATAGGTTTTGATTGTAATGTTTTTCAAAATGTGTGACTTCACTGTGCAAAAGCTGGAGACTTAAACACATCAACATCTTTTAAGGAGAAGAGTACACAATTAATTATGGTTGTGTTTGCTTAACAATGAAAGAATTTGTTTTTCTCTACATGTTAGAATGTGCAGTACACTTATGTTTTGAGTGTGTGTGTTATCTTCTTCAACTTTTTGACCCAAACTTCTTAAGAAGATTTAAATAAAAACTGCCCTGCCCATAATCCTTAATATTAGAAACTAGAGGAAGGAGTGGTATATAGAGACCCATAACAAGTCTGACTCAGCCATTTAAAGAATAGATAAAAGGAATTTAAAAACATAATGTTCTCTAAATGTTCATTATTTCTTTCAGACATATTCTTTAAGAAAACAAACTAACGTTTGAATAGGCATTTTGAATATTCTGTTATTATAATGTAGTTATCCTCTACTTGGCTTTAATTACACTAATCCTTTTATAGAAGAGTGTGGAGGTATCTAACTCATCTCTTTTTTTTTTCCCTTCCTAGTTAATGGTCTAATGACGCTGGGATTCACAGGTGAGTCTTAACTCAAAAATTCAAGCTTTTGTTTCTGTTTTGCTAATGGTTGACCTTTGAGAAACACTTCCATCCTATCTCATCTCAATTAGTCAATTGTCATGCATTTTTTTTACAACTGGTCTTATCCATTAGCTGTATGCAAGAGGGTGTTTTGTAGTGTTTTGTAATGGTCATTCTCAATATATTTACACAAGATTTTCAGAATTGTTCTTAAAACATTTTTGTTTTAAGGTGCAGTCTTACAGTGATGATTAATTTGCAGAATTATCCATGATTTTGACCTCTTTTGGTCATGGATTTAGACAGAAACTCTTGTGTCATCAGATTGGGCTCAAATGACTCTGATGGAGGTTTTTTTTTTTTTAATGACCCTGCAAAATATTGAAATTTTAAGTACAGACAAGCAGAAATACCAATGGCATGGAAAATCCATTTAAACATGGAAGGGGCTGGAGTAAATTGTCAGCACACGTGACATAGTGGAAGAAAAAATTGTGCTGTGTTGGATTTGGTTATAAATCATATGATAGCTGGTTGTTTAGAGTACCCTGCCAGAAAAAGCAGCTTTGCGTAACGTTTGTCAAAGCATCAGTGCAGGATTTAAATTGTGAGCTGTGCAATTTTTGGATGTGGTTTTGAATTGTGCACAGCTTTAGCATTCATCTGCAAGTCTGTCTGTGGAAAGTGTAACAGGTAACTGCTGCAGCTGCCCAATGAATCAACATGAACACTTAAGTAGGCAGGATCCATGTTATCATGTTAACTTCTCATGGATAAAATTATGCTGCCCTTGTGTGATAATTTTTACCATTTTTATCAATGGTGGGTAATTATAGTTCTGACTTTTTGCCAACATGGATAAAGGCTTCATGGCAGCTTTAAGAGCCCTGACAGATATGATGAAGGAGGATTAGGTCCCAGTGAGTGAGCCATACACCTGTAGAGGTGTGTGGTCTGTAGGAAGTTGTAGACTTATGGTTTCAGGTGCAGCACAGGCTGTCCTGTTGTGGGCCAGCTGCTCTTGGCAACTATGTGAAAGCAATGTGTTTATTTGGGCAGATGAGATTTGTCATACAGCATCACGGAGAGAGTGACCACCACCTAAGGAGTCTACTGTGATACCTTCAGTGAAATTAGGAGGTGCTCCTGCCCAGGCTCCAAAGGAGCCAGCTCCTTCCTGAGTGAAATGATGTTCGCTCAAGCCTGTTTCATAATCACATGCCTCATTTCTAATAGAGATACTCAAGCTTCTGAGTATCTGATGGCTGGGTTGTGATGTGAAGCTTGAGACTACTCATCTTGCCTTAGAGTTTGCAGTTTTCTTTACTAGATGGTAACGAACGGGGCCATGAGGACTTCTCTTCTTACCAAGCAAAGTCCTGCCTGATTTTGGCTTCAGGCGATGTTTGGCTGTTACCACACAAAATTAGAACCACCAGCTCTTTTCAGCAGTGATAGGATCCTGCTTTCAAAGTAACTTATAGAAGCAAAAAAAATACCTCTTCTCCCTGGTGTAAACATGTTCTCAGTAAAATTTTTTTTTAGGAGTAAATGGTCTGTTCTCCTTAAAAAAAGCTGTTCCTGCAGAATTCTTGGGGGGATTCCCTGATATACCAGTTTGTTTTAGGGTTGCAGTTTTGTTCAGGTAAACACATTTCTTGAATTTGAGCTACTGTGAAGGGAAAAAAAAATATGACTAATTTAATTCAGGCATTTGTATTGAATATGTGAATATACATATATTTACAGATAATTTTCAATGTTAATGCTTTTTTTTAAACATGGTCAAAATGGTGGCATCTGTAGAGGTAAAGCAAGATGTTTAATGGCTTGATCAAAACAAAATGTTTCAGCCTTATCAAAATCAAACACATTAGTCTGAAGAGAATTTTTTCAAAATTTCAATTTTATAACAAATATTAAAATATTATCTTTGTACTCCAGTGCAGGCATGTGCTGAGTGAGAAAAACATTTGGCTGGTTAAATATACTGGAGTTGCCATTATAGGTTGAAAAAGTTACAGGCTTGCTTAAGTCAAGGATAACTCTTTCTTTGCAAGTAGCTATATGCTGCAATTTTAGCATTTGATAATTGCAGATTATTCTTAAAATTATAGAATTGTTTATGTTGGAAAAGACCTCTATGGTCATTGAGTCCAGCTGTTACTCCAACACTGCCAACTCCACCACTAAAATTCGTCCCTAAATTCTGCATCTACACATCCTTTAAATACCTCCACGGGTGGTGGCTCAACCACCTCCCTGGGTAGCCTGTTACACCTCTTTTGGTGAAGAAATTTTTCCTAATATCTAATTTAAACCTCCATTGGCACTTTGAGTTGATCTAGTGCTTGTTACTTGGGAGAAGAGACCAAACCCTGCCTGGCTACAACCTCCTTTCAGGAAGTTGTAGAGAGCAATCAGGTCTCCCCTGAGCCTCCTTTTCTCCACACTTAACAATCCCAGGGTCCCCCAGCTGCTCCTCACAGGACTTGATCTCTGGATAATTCCTTTAGTGGCTATACTAAAGAAAAAGCTTTGATTGTGGAAATTCACACCCTTTAGCTGGTAAGACATACAAGTATTTCCAATGTTAAAGTAATTTCACCGTAATATAGGTAGTTGAATGTGATGCATGTGTGTAAGCTTGAAAAGTGCTTTTTACACTGAAATGTGGGATTGGGAGATCCAGTTAGCTTTTAACTAAAAATGCAAATGGATGGTAATGAGTTAATATGAGTAGTAGCTAAGTAAGATTAGAAAAGTGATTAGGTAGGTTCCTCTATGCTAGATTTAAAAGGCAGTACTATATATGATAACCATTAGTTTTTTATACAAAGTTATGTTTTTAACATATTTATGTAAATACATGTTTTGTTTATTTTCTAAAAGTGCTTAGAAAATTAAATGTTAAGCCTATGAGAATGTAAATGGCATATTGGACTGTGTGAACAAATTTGAGTGATGTGCTTGTGCTTCTATTTCAGTGTTTGTGATTAAAGGTGCATCTGATGTTTCCTAGGTGCACGTCAACAGAGTGAGCTCTGCAATGAATCTCTCATGTTAGAAAAGTTGCCTGCCTGTGGAAAATCCTTTGAAGAGATGATGAAGAGAGTGGACTCAAAAAAGTGGTGTAACCTTACAGAATTTATCATGTAAGAGTTAGTTTTGGTTTTAATATTTCTCCCCTAATGCATATAAAATATTTATGTTCCAGAATATAGAAAACCTTCTGTATTTTGTTGCCCCTTGCAGAGGGCTAAGCTGCCACTCTTGAGCCCTGCAGTGATGCCATGTGCACACAGAGACACCTGGCTCTTAACTCAGTGTGCAAAATAGTCTACTTTAATGAAAACTAACCAATGGGCTATTTAATACTAGCTGCTATTGCATTACCTCAGGCAGTTGTGTTTACATTTAGTCTATATTTCCGTGCCTTTTAAGCAAATGTTCTGTAACTAATCTCTTCTGTGAAACCACTAAAGCAATAATGCTTTTAGAATCATGCTGTTCTCTTGACAGGAATGCAGTTCCCTCTTCTGATTTCCTTTTCTTCAGTAAGATGACATTCTTTCAGTAATTCACCTCACGTGAAATTATCCAGATTTAAAGTGATTTGTCCTGTTGAACCTGCTGTCATATACTTCTTTGCCTGCCAGCTAGCATGGAGAAAGCGTGCACCACCCATTCTGTTTGGATGTCTAAAATACTGCAAGACTGACAGTCGTGAGGGTGGCATTATTATTCTCTAATCTCTTTTTCCTGTTCCAAAGTTATGGGAAGTATTTAAACATCTCTCTATAAAGCTGCACACTTCAAATTTGGATCTGAAAAAAGCTCACAGGGTTTGTGAAATTGGTGGCATTTTTGGCTTTGTGGAACATCTGCTTCTTTAGACCATGTCCGCTCATGCATAATGCCTGGTTATCGGAAGTGCTGAGTACCCTCCACACCAACTGAAATTAGAAGCAGCTGCAGGTGTTCAGCACTTCAGAAAACAAGCCTCAAGTGAACTAGACCTGGTATGGTATGAGCCAGCCTGAAGCAGAACAGTTCCTGCATTTAAAGCTGTGCTGGTGTTGTTTCTGGAGTCTGCTGTGGAGGCAGAGTAGCCTCAAGCCAGCTGTCACCACACCTGTTACACTGTCATTGAGCCCCAGATGTGTCCTGGTAGGATCATTGGTCTTGTGTCCTGTTTAGTGTCGTGTATGCAGACTTTAACTCGCTGATCACCAACAGACTGGACAGATAATGAAGTGTTGGACTGCAGTGCTGTGTTGCATCAGTTCCCCATGACTCCCTTAGCACCAACACCTGTGTTGAAATGCCCCACCTGTTAATAATGTTTCATAATCTGACATATTATCAGTTTAGATGCTATTCCTTCTTAGAACATTTATTCATAAAGTCACCTTGGTGACTTTAAAATCTTGCAATCTGTTGAAAAATAGATTCTTAAATCTTAAGGTACTGGAGTGAAAGATGCGCTTATGCAGCTCTCTCCAGCTGTGGGGAAGAGTAAGAGAAGGTTAGCTCTTTTAAACCAGCTTGCAGAAATTGCAGTCAAATCTGACAGAGAAGTGTGTGTATACTAGATGTTTTATTTATTTATATATACTAGATGTTTTATTTATTTATATTTATTTTTTATTTATAATTTTGCTCCGGTTTATCTTCATTAAAATTGTTTTAGAAAAACAAGATTTCTTCTATGAAATGTTATGTGAATCAATAAGTGACCTCAGTTAATGGGATTACTTGCAGCAGTGAAAAGTACCTATAGGATCCAAAATACTAGACTGTATTGTTATCCAATATACTAGACTGTATATTACCTCTATTAATGCAGGTGAAAAAACAGGCAGCTTTTGGAGAGACTTCTGCTAAAATTAATTCAAGATTTTACATATTATGTGCAAGAATTTTTCAAGGTTTGGAGGTGATTGAAGTCTCTGAGTTTTCCTGACTTTTAATTAGAGTTAAGAATCCACCTTGATTTTATCCTTTCCAGTTGTACTCACTGTTTGGTGTTGTTTTCATTCCCTGTACAAGAAAATTTTTCTGAAGAAGCTGGTCAGTCTGAGGCTTTGCTCATTTTTCCTCAAAAGCAGTACCAGAAGAATTCAAGGCTCTTAAAGAAGAAAAATTTTTACATTTTTAACGTAATATATATTGTCTGAAAAATCTTTTTTTAGATGTTTCAAGTTCTTCTTTAGAAGAGAGTAGCAGGAGGAATTTGTAGTCAAATTTATCTCTTGAATCAAGCGTTAATCAAGCATTAGAAGTCTGATTACTAATTTATCATAAGGGTTCATTGCACTGAAGAGGCAGGAAATGCGCATCAACCTTTAAGATATTTACTCTTTTGAGAATAGACATTGTTATTTGGTGTCATACATTCTATAAGAAGCATATATAATCACAGAATGGCCTGGGTTTGAAGTGACTGTAAAGATCCTCTTGTTCCAACACCTCTGCTGTGAGCAGGGACACATAGAGGTTAATTTATTCCAGCTCACTGAAAGAACCCTGAGAGATGGGACAGAAGGACTTCTTTCTTTGGAGTAATCTGACAAATTAATAAAAAACTTATCTGAATTTTAAGTGCTCATAGATAGATATATATTTAAACGTGGTAATATTAGTTTGTGCTGATTTTACATCTAGCCTCCAGCAGTAACAATCAATCTGGATCAGATAGTGGGTTAAAAAAGTGAGTTTTATGTAAAATAAACTGTTTCTTCATGCAGTAATTTCTACATGGCACTTTTCACTTTGAAATAAATCTTTGTAACTTATATTAAAATGTAACAGTTAGTGGAAATCTGCTAATTTTCTAAATTCCTTGTTTTGTGGAGGAGTTTTAGCTCTTCAGTGTCAATGGCTGTCCTTTGGTTATGGGATTGTAAATAGCAATTATCTGTAGTGCTTCACCATTTGGCTAAACATTTGTGAGAGAATTTGCATTGACTCCAATTTACTGTAACCTACTTAACCTGTAAGGTTTTCTGACATCTCTGACATCCTTAACAAACGTGTGTTCTTTAAAAAGCTGCCTTTTCACTGATTTTGAACAGACGAGGCTTCTGTGGCAGCTGATACTGCAAACCAATATGAGAGTTTTAGCCTCCACAGCTGATATTGATCTTGCTGGAAATGTGAGATGATCACATATAGACAGTAAATTCTCAGGTAAAGTTTTACAGAAGCACTGTTAGATGAAAGTTTCCCTATTAATTTTTGCATATTTCTGTGAGAATTCACAGTTAGTTAGGATACAAGTACTCTGGGTCAAATTGTCCAAAAGTACTTGAAAGCTTAAATATGATGAGGGATCACAGTGAGATTTTAATATATTTTAAGTCATTTAGATGTGGTGGATTTTAGTGGTTCTAGCTTGGACATCAGAATATGAAGGCTAACCACAAACAGCTTACAAAAAAGGTAAAACCTTCAATACACAGCCAGAGGTGTTCATTGACAGAAGAGAAGGAGTTTGCCTAGTTGCAGTTTTGCTGAGGCCTTTAGATTATTGAGAGAGAGCTCTGAAGATGAAAATACAACAAGGTTGTTTAAAAGACTCAAAATTATGGTACATGGAAGGTGAATAAGCAGAGACTAAAGTGTGGGTGAAAGCTGTATGAGGAATTAACAAAAGCAAATATACTTTTCATTTGCCAGAAGACTGGAAATTGCAGGAAGGTTTTTATTTTTCATGTGTAGTATTTCTGTTATGCCTACTTATAGTAACACCTATGTTAATAATGCTACATTATATATAGTAAGTATGTATTGTATTTCCTCATTGTCTTCTTAATATTTAGCAATTACAGCTGAATATGTAAAATCAACTACTGTCCACATGCCAAAATTCATTATTAACAGTCATACCTTTTTTTATGTGCTGTGATAAATCTGGTGTAGGATTACAGTTGAGAGGCCAGGTATGACTAATTCCTGAAGCAAGTGGCCAGATGAAGATGGAAGTGCCCAGAGCTGTTTTACATGAACCTAAAAAAATGTTCCTTATTGTAATTGCTTAGATTACTTTCTATTCTTAACTCATGAAACAGTTTTTCAAATGCTTCTGACTGGATCCTGGAAACAATTTACCTAGAACAAACAGTCTCTAAACAAATCTGTATGTGTCTCCTAGGTCTAATCCCTATGGAAATGTGAGACCAAAATGTACTAAAGAAGATTTTCAGTGGCTTGTTAAGCTTTTGGCCTGATCCCACGTACCAGTTTTCTCTCTTCTGCATCACCATTTTCCAAATACTTCTGAGTGTAGTTACCAGCATCTCAGTAATTTTGAGGCCAGAGAGATGGCTGTGGCCATGTCTGCACTGTTGCATGATACAGGCCACACAATCTGCCCAATAATCAGTATTCTAAGCCCTGTGAGAGTGACTATACTATGGAAAGGCATCAACTCTTCATTTAAAAGATTACTATTGATCCATTACATCTATAAACAGATTGCGTTATCTGTTACAAGTGAGGCATTCTCTTATTTCAAGCCAATACTATTATTGCAGCACTCATCCCACAGGTTGCTAGGGTTGCATGCCTGCTGCTTTGGGAGCTCCCAGTCAGTCATTCTGTGTTTACCAGCCATTGGGTTTAGAGTCCAAGGGTGAAATAGGAACTTGTGTTTTGGAGGAGAGTTCTGTCAAAGTAGTGCATGTAACACAGGTTAGATCTGGATGTTATGTTTGAGAAAAAGAATGGATTGTAACAAACTTCTTCCTCCAATCTCTGCATTTCTTTTCACAGCTCTAGAAGTCCCTGATTTGTTGTGAGACAGTGGCTCTGTGACATTGCTTTGCAGTATCTGGAATATGTTAAAAGTCTCATTTTTCTGATGTTTTAAATTTCAGTTCATAGCAGAATAGAAGAGGGCAAATTTTTTCTTTAACTGTACGTCTGAAGCAGATTTGTTGCAGGTATGTGTGTACATGATGAAATTCTCTGTTTTACTGCATGGTCCAAGGTCTGTGCCTACTGTAAATAACTAATCTTTTTTCTGTATAGCCTTAGTGTAGTTTTCCCACAACACTTCACATGAAATGTTAATTCTATAAACAGTTTCAGTCCCATTGAAGATGATGAGGGAGTCCACCCATGTTCTATACAGACGCCAAGGATTTGTAAA